ATCTGTAGTCAAATAAGGACCGGCTATTTTGCTCTATCACCTGAGAGCTTAGATCCAAGGTAACATTGCTGTGTGGCTTCTGCCTGCTGCCCTGGGGCCAGGAGAGGCAGGCCAGGCCCCTGGGACTGTGCAGCAGGAGGTGGGGGCAGAGCCCCTGGCACAGGGATGCTATGGACAGGGATGCTATGGACTGGGATGCTATGGACAGGGATGCTATGGACTGGGATGTTATCCAGCCCTTGGCACAGGGATGCTATGGACTGGGATGTTATCCAGCCCCTGGGACTGGGATGCTATGGACTGGGATGCTATGGACTGGGATGTTATCCAGCCCCTGGGACTGGGATGCTATGGACAGGGATGCTATGGACTGGGATGCTATGGACTGGGATGTTACCCAGCCCCTGGGACAGGGATGCTATGGACAGGGATGCTATGGACTGGGATGTTATCCAGCCCCTGGCACAGGGATGCTATCCAGGGACAGAGCTGCCCTGAGCAGCTGAAGGGCTGCTGGGCACCCCAAGCCCTGGGGGTGAAGGGTGTTTGGATCATGGATTTGAAGTTTAGAGATGCCCAAATGTGTGGGGCTGAGGTAGCTGATAGGTGTGACCTGCTAAAGGTTTGGGAAGATGTGATGTGAAACAGTGCATTGCCCACTGTTTTAAAGGTGTGTGGCTATAAAAGGAGAATATCTTAATTTCCTTTTGAACTTGAACCAGTTACACAACAGTCGAAAAAAGATTTCTAATTTTAATAAAAGTCAAGTAGAGACTAATCTACACTGCAGTGTCCCCAGGACATTTGCAAAATGCTGGAATTCCTTCAGCTGCACAAACAGAAATTTATAAATATTTATTGAAAAGTAGTTTATTGAAAATGTCACCTGTGCAACTGGAAATGAACATGAAAGAGAAACTGAGGTGGCAGGGAACAGCTGTTACAGACAAGTTGCCCACTTGGTTTTGTATTTCTGGTTTATGAGTGGCTGCTTTAATTTTGGTCTCTGCCAGCTGCTTCTGCACACACAGTGCAGAAGGAACATCTAAGAGAAAACAGATACTTTAGGAGGCAGATTGTGGCAGCCATCACTTAATGGAATGGCTGCTGAAGGATTCAATATTATTGAAAAAAGTGTGTTTTGAGGGAAATCAGCTGCCACTGCTGCATGACATGTCGAATATGCTGTAAAGACATCATGCAAAATACTAAAAGGAAGGGTGCAAAATATAAACACCTGCAATTCTAAATGCTGCTGTAGAGATTCTTCTTACCCATCTCCAGTGGTGAGAATAAAATACAGTCTAAACAAATTCATAGGTTTCCCAAGTTTTGAGAGCTACTCAATTTTATATAAATTTTGTTCACATTTTGTGGTCTATAATTTGTGCTTTAGTTTTAAGAATCTCACTTTTGGGCAATGCTTGAGGAATTCAGGATCTCTATCCTGATTAAGCTAGATACAGGACTGTTTAATCAGCACCCAGAACTTATCTCACACTAGGTTTGTAACAGCATAAATCTCCATCTTTCAATTTCTTTTAAAAGAAAAAATCTTGCTCAAGTTTGACTTCAGGAAAAACTTCTCCTTGTGCCCATTGCATGCTTGTGAACATGAGAAAGGCAAATCTTAAAGCATAAAAAGTAGAAAGTTGGGAAGTGTTCCAATAATGATGAAACCTTTTTCAGCCCCATTGCTTAAATGAAGGGATGTCATGGAGGGGATCTTGGGGAATTCTGACTGGGGCAGTATCACTTTGAGGGAGGAAGAAATTCAGCTAGTCAGGATTTGAGTTGCCTAAATATTACATGTAAGATTAATAAACATAGTTACTAAATATAAAACACTAAACTGTAACATAAAACATCTAAGTATTGAATGGGGAAAAAAAAATTTCCTCCTCATATTTTAAATTGGGGCATTTTAATTGCAGGTACTTATCCCTCACTTTACACATTGCTGGCTGCAGAGTTTGAGGTAAATACAGCCACCCTACTTCTGAGTTTTGTAGTGTGTAACAATCTGCCCTGGAAAAGCAGCATTCTCTTCTGCTCCTCAAAGCAAACTACATGTAATTGTCAAAAAGTAAAGCTGGCTAGAAAGAAGTGTTGGGGCTTTGAATTTTACTTTTTGAATTATGAATTTTGCTTTTCGAAGAAAGAAAACTTTTTATTACTTGACATGGGTGATCTAGTATACTGAAATTAGTGAGCCTAAAATAGATTGACATGAAGTAAGATAGAGGGTGGAAAATGTACACTGAAATACCTGAATATATTTGTGAAGAACTGTATTTGTTCAGCTGCAGAATGTTCCTCTTTCACACTTTCCATGCCTCTTACCATTTTTTAATACTTTTGTATTTCTTTGTCATATATGTTGTATACAGTTACATATAACAGATGTATAAATGATTTTAAAAAACCAACCAACCAAAGCTCCAAACTTGTGAATTGAAAGGTGGCTGTATAAATCTCTTCCATACAAACTTATTCAATATTCATTGATATTGAGTTCTTCAAAGTGCTACTTGACTACCAGGTCTGAAACTTGTGGGAAGATCAGCTAAGGCAGCTGCACTGAACCTGATTGATCACAGTTGTGTTGTGTTGTGCATTTGGATCCACCTGCCCAGCACAAACACCTGCATTGCTCCAGTTTTGGAAAGTAAGATTCTGTTTAGCAGCATGTGGGTTGAATTAGAGAGCTGCTGGCCTCGTGTTTTCCTCCTTGAGTTGGAGCAGTTTGATGAAGGCAGTGCTGCTTTCAGTTCTCCTCACTCGCTGATTCAGGGAGATGTGACCACTGTGTAGCAGCAGGGAAGGTGCAGAATCCAATTACAGCTTTTCATGTTTGGGTTTACTGATTAGTTTTACTGTTTCAGATGTTATACCTACAGTTCATGTTTGCTTATCTTTATTTGTTACTTGCTAAATTTTAAATGCTGTAAGAAATGGAGCTGGCATTGTAGGTTTTTCAGAAAGTTTCATATCTCTCTTCAACCAAGTGAAGGATTAATTTGAACTTCATGGTATTGTAATGATTTTTCACTGCTATGAATTGGTTTTGCTCCCTGTAGTCTCTGTCCTTTATTGCATTAGTGCTGCAGAACAATAGTGGTGGGAGATATTGCTTTATGAACTCCAGCATCTCAGTACTGCTGTTGTCATTCATCACCTAATATAGGCTAATTGATGCTACTGCAGACCATTCCAGAAGGAAAAAGAAACATTTCTGCTTTAGCTAGGTGATGGTCACTTCATCTGTAGTGAGCACGGAAAGCCAAATAAATATTTGATGTGAACCTTTATAAAAATATATTAAAAAGCAAAAGTCTTGTTTTATGTGAAGAACTCATGGATTAGAACTAAAGAATAAAATAACTGCAAGAATTTTTTGCTACAAGATGCTCCAGAGGTTTATTTTTCATTATATACTGTGTTTCAAGAGTTACAAGTCAATCTTTTTTAGCTCATTTAAACTGCACATTTCTTTTGCCAACTAGATACAAATAATTTGTACACAACGTGGCTTTAAAGATGTACATAATGTGACTTCCTCTGGAGCACTGTAGGGTAAAAAAATGGCTCTCCCTTCCCCCTCACTTTGATGAAATAGAGACTTTTTCTTGAATATGGAATGGTTATTGAAAGTCTGCTATTAACGAGTTACTTCTGTATGAAAGGTGGCAGTGACATTTGAACGCAGCCGCCGGGTCAGGGGCAGCCGGCGGGACGGCTCCGAGCTGGCCCGTGCGCTTTGGTGGCCGGCACGGCGGCTGAGGTGGCACTGGAGTCACACCAGGACAGCTCCCGCTCCCATCCCGCTGCCACCCTGCCCTGACAAGGCTCGGAGAGAGGAGCCCTCCTGCTACAGATCTTACCCCTCACTTGAGGCTGGAAGGGGCTTAGAAGTTTGTCCAGAAAGGGAGCTTGGCTGTTAAATATCCCTGCAGAAAACGTGGGAGGAGTATTGAAATGTTTTGATAAGGGATACGAAGATTGCTCGCACATTTAGCTCCTTCACCCTCTTGTACTGTTTTCTTACATTTATTAAACAGTGTGCTACCAGGCAAGGCACACACCGGGTGAATTTGTGCTTTATCTGCTTTTTGAGTGTAAAAGCTTTTGCTGCAGTGCCAGATCCGTGCTGTTAATAAACCTTCCAGCAAAATCTCCCCAGTGTCATCTGTTGTGGAGGGACTGGTCTGAGGCAGGGGCAGCCCACAGCTGCCCGGGGAGATGGGCCGCGTGTATCTGTGCGTGGTGGGAAAGGCTGCACCAGGGCGAGAGAGCAATGGACAGGAGAGAGCGGCCGAATGCTTCTGCAACTCGTGAGCAGCCCCGGAGTGCTCCGAGCTCGGTCGGGGGCGGAGGAAACCGCTGAGAAAATTCCGTAAGAGTCACTGAGCTTTGCCGAAGCCCATCGGGCAGCCTGTGCCCCACGAGTGCGCTGTCCCGCGGGACCGCCGCTCCGCGCCCTTCTCAGGCGCCTTTTGGGATGTGGTCGGCTTTAAAGCGCCGCTGCTGTCCGGAGCTGCAGCAGGGCTTGCGCTGCCCTCCCCACAGCGCTGTGTCTCAGGACACAGGAGAAAAGAAAGCGCTGCCCGTGTCCATGCCCAGCCGGGGCAGGGAGTCTCGGGGCCCATCGCCGGCCAGCTGCCGGCTCCAGCGGGGGCTGCGCTGGGCTCTGCCCGGCACTCGCGGGGCTGCGCTGGGCTCGGGGCCGCCGGGGCTCGCTGCCCGTGGGCCGGGGCAGCACCGAAGGGGCCGCCCGGTGACCGGACACCGGCTATAAAAACACTGTGAAAAACTGCGGGCGGATGGAGTTGTGCTGAGCTCTGCCAGGAAGATCCAGTGTGAGGATTTTTTTAAAACGTTGTGGACAACCTTTGAGAACTCCGAGTTTCCGCACAAACCAAGATAAGGGCGGCGGGGCTGGCCCCGGAATCCTCTCAGGCCTGTCAGGGATCTTTCCCCCCTCTCTTCTGTTTTCCCCGTTACCGGCGCGGCTCCGCTGTGCGAGGGGTACCCGGTGAGGAGCCTCCCGCCGGGCTGGGCTGACGGGAGCGCCCCGGCGGAGCAGAGAGGGGCTCCCGCAAGCGCCCACCACCCTCCGGCGGTGCGGGGCCCGGCCGGGCTCGGGCTCGGGCTCGGTGCCGATCAGTCCGGGCTCCCCACGGGGGCGGTCGGTCGGAGCGGGCGGGGGGCTGCAGCCCGAGGCCGGGCGGCGGGGCCGCCAATGGCGAGCGCGGGGCGGGCGCCGCCAATCGGGGCCGTCCCTCGGTGGCGGCGGCGGCACCGGAGCGCTCCCGGCGCGGCGGGGGCGGGGCGGGGAGCGATGCGCTCTGTCGGGGCGGCGCAGCCCCCGCCCGCCCCTCGCTGCCGCCCCGCGCTGTGGGGCGGAGCGGAGCGCGGTTCCGCCTCGCTCCGGCGGCCGCCGAGAGCAGCGCTGCGGCGGCACCCGCGGCCGCTCGGCGATGGCGGCGCGGGAGAAGCGCGGGGCGGGCGGGCGGCCGTGCCGCTGCTAAGTAGGGCAGGGGCGGGGGCGGCGGCGGCGGGGCCGTCGCGGCGGCTGCGCTATGCGGGCCAGGCGCGGGGGGCCGGCCGGGAGACGGCGCCGGGGGCGGCGCGCCCTGCTGCCCGCCGCGGGCCCCGGGGCGCCGGGGCGCTGAGCAACAGTTGGCCCCGCCGCCGCCCAGCATGAAAGTGTGCCGGCGGAAGGCGCTGGCGCTGTGCCTGGGCTACGCGCTGCTGCTGCTGCTCGCCGCGCTCAACCTGCTGGAGTACAAGTGGCGGCGGGAGCCGCGGCGCTGCGGGGAGCCCCCGGCAGCCCCCCGCCACCACCCCCCGCCGCCGCCGCCGCCGGTCGGGAGCCGCGGCCCGGCGGGCGCCCGGCGGCAGCTGGTCTATGTCTTCACCACCTGGCGCTCGGGCTCGTCCTTCTTCGGGGAGCTCTTCAACCAGAACCCCGAGGTCTTTTTCCTCTACGAGCCGGTGTGGCACGTCTGGCAGAAGCTATACCCCGGTGACGCCGTCTCGCTGCAAGGGGCGGCCCGCGACATGCTGAGCTCCCTGTACCGATGCGACCTCTCCGTCTTCCAGCTCTACAGCACGGCGGGCGCCGGCAAGAACCTCACCACGCTCGGCATCTTCGGGGCGGCCACCAACAAGGTCATCTGCTCCTCGCCCCTCTGCCCGGCCTATCGCAAGGAGGTGGTGGGGATGGTGGATGACCGGGTGTGCAAAAAGTGTCCCCCGCAGCGCCTCAGCCGCTTCCAGGAGGAATGCCACAAGTACCACACGCTGGTCATCAAGGGCGTCCGTGTCTTTGACCTGGCCGTCCTGGCCCCGCTCATGCGGGACCCGACCCTGGACCTCAAAGTCATCCATCTGGTGCGGGACCCCCGGGCCGTCGCCAGCTCCCGCATCAAGTCCCGGCACGGCCTCATCCGGGAGAGCCTGCAGGTGGTGCGGAGCCGGGACCCCCACATCCACCGCATGCCCTTCCTCGATGCTGGCCACAAGCTGGGCGGGAAGAAGGAGGGGGGGGGCGGCTCGGACTACCATGCCCTGGGTGCCATGGAGGTCATCTGCAGCAGCATGGCCAAGACCCTGCAGACTGCTCTGCACCCCCCTGACTGGCTCCAGGGCAATTACATGGCCGTGCGCTACGAGGACCTGGTGGTGGAGCCCATCAAGACCCTGCGGCAGGTGTACGGCTTTGTGAACCTGGCGGTCAGCCCGGAGATGGAGAAGTTCGCCCTCAACATGACCAGCGGCCCCGGCTACTCCTCCAAGCCGTTCGTGGTGTCGGCCAGGAACGCCACCCAGGCGCTGAGTGCCTGGAGGACCGCGCTCAGCTACCAGCAGATCAAGCAGGTGGAGGAGTACTGCCAGCAGCCCATGGCCCTGCTGGGCTACGAGCGGGTGGGCAGCCCCGAGGAGGTGAAGGACCTCAGCCGAACGTTGCTCAGGAAGCCGCGGCTGTGACGGGGCAGCGGCGCCCGGGGGTGGCGGAGCCCGGGCAGAGGAGCCGCTCCGGCTGCCTTGAGTGAGGGAGGGAGCCGGGAAAAGCAACCTGGGCTCCGATTTCCTCCAAAGACTGCCGAAGGGTAACATACAGTAATGTGATGATTTCGTGGTGGTTTTTTTTTGTTTGTTTGTTTTTTTGTTGTTTTTTTACCCACCCCCTTTGCATTGGGTTAGATGCGATTTAAAAAAACAAAATCAAGTGGAACTGAAAATATGTGTAAAATCCCTTCCTTCTTCTCTAAAACGCCAATATCGTGTTCATGAAGTTCTCGTGGGTTTGAAGGTGGTAACAAAAACTCTTGCACAATTCCTAACACATCTTTATCTCCCTTGGTGCGGAGGGGATGCCCTTGGAAAACATAATGCTGAAAATCAGACTTTTGTATGAAAGCAAATGTTCAGACATGATAGTAATAAAAGAAAATAATAAATGATATTCATTTTTATAATTACCTCAATTGTTTGGGAAATACAGTGTTGCTTATGTACAGCTGGAGGGGATGCTTGCTTAAAATAACAACGTGGACTTCTTAAAGGGTATGGGCGGAGGGCTGGAGTGCAACATTTGATGTGTTCAAAGATCAGGAGCTGCTCTTGCAGAAACAAATACAGATCTTGCAAGTGTAGTGCAGGTTTCTATTTAACTATTGTCTTTTCTGTTGTATTTAAAAAGTCTTTCAAGTGCCACTGTATTAGTGTCCTAAGAGTTTTGAAACGTTTGCCATCGCAGCAGTATTTATTTTTGTCTTGACATGTATGTCCAGGAGTCACTGTCAAATAGAAATGGATCTACAGCGTGACAAGAAATGCAGGATTTAAAAAGACATTTATCAATACTGGAAACATTAGCATGTGTGACAACAAAAATAAAATTCTATATATTCTATATATTCTATAGTGCTAACAAAACATAAGATGTAAGATAGTTCTTGACACTGATTGGTAACAGGCAGAGCAGGGAAGCACAGAAAAATGCATAAAATGATTTAATTTTTCCCTTTGTCTGTGTCCGAGGGTATATTTATGTACGAGGAGGGAGGAAATGTACAGCTGTGTGTTCATGGCTGTAACAGAGCTTTGATGGAGCCAGCCCAGCGTTTGATTTCAGAGCGCTGGTTGGAGACTCATTGCCTGTGAATTGTCATTGCTCTGTGATGGAGCCAGATGGTGGTCTGGCTCTTTCTGGGAGCTCTGCTTAGCGTCTGTCCCATCGTTAAAACTTGATGATTAAAAAAAAAAGAAAAACCGAGAGATTTTACTACTTCCGCTTTTGTAATTTCTTGGAAAAAGTCCTGATTTATTAAAGGTTAAGTGGTGTGTTGCATATGAAAAGTGCAGACACCCTAAGTAGTTTTTAATCTTGGTGTTCTCTGCTGCTCTTTGAAGGCTCATTTTGGAACTTGAGTTTTTAAACAAACGTAGTTTTGCCAAACTGTTCTCTTAGGAGACTACAGACTTTTCTACAGGAAGTACATTTTACATTGCCTATTTGGGTGTTGTGCCTTCAGAAAATGTGAAGAGTATGAGTAGGAAAAAGGAGATTGATTTGTGAAAATAAATTAATATAAACAGGATGCTGATATGTGTGTGTGTATGTGTGGGTGTATGTGTGAAAATTTTAGTGATGTGTAATACGTCTATTTCTTGTAACTCAAGTTAAACAGCTGATAACTGGCTACTAAGATTTTTGAGTTCTTGATGAAATTTTGGCATTAGATGTTGAATTTATTCTGAAAAGGAAAAACATTTAATAAACTAGTTTAAAGATTATTGCAAAAGGTTGCCTATACACTTGCTGAATGACTGCATTACATGTTGGTTCCCTCAGCTCATTTTCACCATCAGTGAAATAACATAAAATCTAGCAATGGGAGACCTTTTAATTGGCCTCTTAGGATGTATTCCCGGATTCCAGACAGCGGTGCTAGAAACGGGAGGGATAGTTAATTTGGTGTTTCAAAGACAGATTAAGGTACTTGTGTTGTTGTGGAATGATGTGTTTTGTGTTACCATGTGCATGTTCAGTGCAGTGCTGCTGAGAGGATTTGGGGTGTTTGGCTTTGGGCTGTACCCAGCGGGGTTTTTCATTTTCTCTGGTTGCTGTGTCCGGGTGCAGTGCTTGGAAATCTGACCTGCTTGTAGAGCACGGTGCTTGCTTTTCCCCCCTGGCTGGTTCCGAGGCTGCCTGCTCGCCCTGCCCTGCCCTGCCGGTGCTCAGCCCGTGCTGCGGGCAGCGCAGGCGGCTGGAGCCGGGAGCCCCCGAGCTGCCCACGGAGCGCCAGCCCCGCCCGGGACACCGCCCCCGCCTGGGCTCGGGGGCAGCTGTGCCTGGGTCTCCAGATGGGGCTTTAGTGTTACAGCAGAAGCTCCTTAGATTTTGGGAGCTGATGCATGGTCATTTCTGCGTGCAAAAACTCCTTGGTCTTTTTTGGGAAAGTTTTCGGGATGAGTAAAGTGAACAGGAATTGATTTCCTCTGGGACTGTGAAACAGATGAGCCCAATTGACTTAGCTTCCAAAAATGTCCTTTGGCTCCTAATTATGTTAAAAAGCTCATCCTGTCACTCTGAGAGAGCACTTGCTGCTCTTCTAATAGTGGTGCATTGCAAGCATCTGCTTCACTTTCCCGGTACCAGCGCTGCCAGTAGAGTTACAGCATCTGAATCTGGTCCATAGTTTGAGCTCCACCTACTACATTGCAGCAAGGAATCACCCAACATGCTGTACAACTGCACCCTGGTGTGCTTTGGTGAACAGAACAAATAGTGCAATGATCATTTTGTGAAAATAAAGGACTGCATGTTTGTTCAGGGGAACTGAATGGGACCCCGCTCGTTTAAAATGCTGGTGGGCTAAACCCTATGTTTAGTGCTGCTCTATTAAATATGTATGTGAACAACTGGCAATTAAGAGATGATTTTTAGCCCTTTTTTGTATACAGGAAATAGAAGTAGAGGAACTTTTACAAGCCAAACGGAGTTGAAAAAAAGTTGTAAATGTGGAAAATTACAGGGAAAAATAAGGTATCAGAAAGATGAAGGACATGGTTACAAAAGAAGTTTTCCTTTTGTGAGGAGGGATAGCTAGCTGTAGTCAGAATAAACTTGACTTTTAAGCTTGAAAATAGTCCTGGGTTTGCTTTCTGTCTGATTTAATAATTACAGAATGCTTCTTCAATGCTTGTATTAGTAAAGGATCAATAGCATAAGCAAGGTACAGGCTGCACTCAGTTGCACGGGAGGGAGATGCTTCTGAAGACTTGGCACGTTGGTTTGATGGAAGAGAAAGGCCAATGGGCAGCTACGTGTTGCTTTCTGCTGTGAACAAAGCCAGAACATCAAACAGGTGTGGTAAATTGCAATGATCATTCACTGCATGAAAACAGGAAAACCCTCTGAATCAACTGAACCACAAGATGTGTAAAACTGTGCAAGTTGCTGCTGCTAAGCTTGGAGCTGACAATGAAAAAAATGTTAGATCAAGTATCTTTCATTCTTTCTTAACAAAAGGAGGAAGTCCCTTATTTTTCCAATCACTTTGTAATTTGTCAGACATTAAACATCATGCTGTGACTGGGAAGAGGAACATAATTTAAACCCACAAACCTCGTATTTCCATTATGCTTAGAACTCGGGTCCTCAGAGGTGAAATACTGATGGTTATAAGCAATC